TTGCAGACCTTAACTGAACATTTATTTTCATCTTAGGTGCAGTTTCAAGGCATATGCAGTTTTGGCCGCATCGGAGCTTGAATGTGAGACAAAGAAACACGTTCAAACATGTGCGTTGGTATGTCTTTGCACTCAAATCACCAAGCACAGGGCACATGAGGGGTTTTCAATGTGGAACTGCCTACATTTCAACTCCCCAGTCAACTTAGAGGATTAAAAACTTACTGTTTGTACTGCATTCTCCATAAAGAACAGGAGTAAAACTACCTATCAGAAGGCTTTAATAGGCAAGGTTAAAACAGTAAATCAGCAACAATCTCTCCCTATTATGTTATCTTTACTTCGGGTCTTATTGACTGTAATTATGCCCATTCAAAATGTACCGAAGTGGGATAAATCAGAGATAAGATAAAGGAGAGCCATGGCACTCAAACAGTAAATGGCCTGTATTTGTATAGCGCTTTACTTAGTCCCTGTGGACCCCAAAGCGCTTTACACTACATTCAGTCATCCACCCATTGGTGATGGAAATATACATTGTAGCCACAGCTGCCCTGGGGCGCACTGACAGAGGCGAGGATGCTGGACACTGGCGCCACCGGGCCCTCTGGCCACCACCAGTAGGCAACGGGTGAAGTGTCTTGCCCAAGGACACAACTATCAGAGCCAGGGCTCGAACTAGCAACCTTCCACGATCGCCCCTTGGAAACAGAATTTTAAAAAAAGCTTTTTAAAGCCTTATTTTTGGTTCAAAGTCAAACATTTTCAGGATTTTTTTATTTTTATTTGACTTCATTGGTGAATCAATACCTGCAGTTTTTATATCCTGGTGATCATCAAAATAAAAGTTCATTAAAGTATTTCTTCTGAACTGTCCCATCAAAAAGTGTCTTACTCACAGGAAAATGAAAATAACTAATAAGTATCCAGTAACACAATAAAACTGAAACATGAGAAACAATGTTAATGTCTTAACAGAAAGGAGGTCTAACCCATTCGGCTTTTTAAACCCACCAATCTACATCAGATACTGACTAATACTGACTCAATATCTTTGAGTATTCGTGCTTATAAGTTAATATATTCATTTCAGTTACATCGTATTCGTGTTCTGTGTATGACATGCACCACAGGCCATGATATTGATGGTCTTATCTGCTCCACTCCATGTGTACAGCGAAACAGATAAGCACACACGGTGAAACAGACAGCAGAGGAGAAAATATTACTGCAAAACGTACAAGCCTTAAATGCTGATCTGAAATGAACCTACGTAAATAGCAACGTGTTGCCATCTCTCATTGCAACAATAAAAACCAATTAACTCACAGCAGGCAATCATTTTTTATTCATGAACATATTTTAGGTTGAGTAATTTATTACATGTTCTATGTCTCCCTCCAAGACAAGACTGCATATCAGTATCTTGTCGCAACTTTCACTTGTGCTAAAATGAAGCTCTCTATATGTCTTGCACTCTTTTTTCTTTTCTTTTTTTTGGGGCGGTGACTTGCACTCTTAATGTGTGCTATGCAATGCTTGAAAAGCTTGCTAAAAATACACATATGTGTGATTAAAGCCAGTGATAAACAGAAAATAGATCCAAGGGACTGTGCTGGGAAGTAAAACTGTTGTCTAAAGTTGAGTAAAGTAAAGTCTATGTCAGCAGTGTCCGTGTAAACAAGTGATGCAAATTTCCATGGAAAATCCTGACCAGAGAGATGAAAAGTGTATCTGGATTTTGGTGACTGCAGTAAAGTGTCTACACAGCCAGAGAAGACGACTTGTTATGTTGCCAACAAGCAACACTCATACGATGGCTGATGGGTGTTTCTTCCATCTCATCTTTACTTTTTACATTTTTATTATGAGATATTAGAAATACCATTATTAATATATCTGATAAAATTCGTTGCCCAGCTACAGTTCTTCCCCCAAAATGACTCAGAAACTAGACTAAGACGATCAAATCACGCTACACTCAGTAGCCATTACAGAGCCAGCTATCCAACGGAATTCGTTTTAGTATTCTATTTTCCTCCATGTCAATTACATTCCATCATTTCCTCTAACGCTCAGTCAGATAAAAATATTCATGTGGGAAAGAAGGGGATCTCATTCAAGGATTTGTGATGTTTACGAAGACTTGTATCCTGACTGTTATAGATGCGTTCTCTTAGCATTCTGGCACTTCCTCTATGACAATGTCCAACTTCAAAACCACTCAACTGCCTCATTAATTCTCATTAGTTCTGTTCTCACGACAGGAAGGCAAGCTGAAGAGTGAACATCTAGTTTGAAGCAGTACTTTGTGTTCTTTCTGAGAAACAGGATCAGGGAAAAAAATGGAAAGAATGGATGCTGTCCATCTCATGAAGCGAAAATAAGCAGGAAAGACCTCACTAAAACTTCTAACTCAAGAATTTACATCCTGGCAGTCAGGCACTGTAATCTCAAATGGATAGAAAAATGAAGTAATTATTAGTGCTGTCTGAATGTTAAGTTATATATATATATATATATATATATATATATATATATAGGGGATAAAGTAGTTGTTACTTGTTAGTATACTTGTTAGTGTTATTAAGTTTCCAGAGTTCATTAGAGATTTAGCTAACAAATTCAGTTTGTGAACTGTGTGCATAGTAAAAGACAAAATATACATAAAACTTTAAGAAATGCATTACTCAATTAATACTTAACCAACATTGTTTTTCATACATTGCTAACTCTCATTCAATGTGAACACATGCTATTACGTTGAATCATTATGCTGTCAGCTGACATCATTGATGGTCACCTCTCCTTCTGTCCTATGTATGGACGTGCTGTTTAGTCTGTTGATGGTAGATGGTGGACTCAGGTGCAGACCAAAACAACCACCAGGGGTGGTCTCAGCCTGGTTCCTAACAAGCTGAAGAGCGATTTATTACAAGAATACGATCTAACCTCGATGTAGTCCAATTATCCAATGTACAGTGCATGTTTTAGCTTAGCACTTTCACATAACCAAGGTTATAAGACACTTTAAAAGAAAGTACACAGGAGAGTACACAAACCGTAGTAACAGCCTGCTACATACCATTTATCCTGAAATATCTATCAAATAAACATAAATATTTGCAGTAAATTCTCCATGTTTTTTTTCCCATTAGTCCAGAATACAGCACATTTTCCCTGTATTTACTTTTGTTGATACTACCCCAAACACATTTGGCCAATAAGTAGATTGAACGTTGCCAAATAATTTGTAGTGATGCACTTTGGTTGGCTAGGAGTTTTCTGTGTGGAAAGAAAAACCATACCACAGGAAAAAGCAACTAATTTACAAAAGTATCATCTGATATAGAACAGAGTAAATAGGTCTAGGTATAGACACAGGAAATTTAAGGATGTCCTATGGTGGCATCGGGAATCAACACACAGTGCGAGCATAATTTTGGCTTCTGTGGATCAGGCTTGTTGGAGCACATCCCAAGGATGCTTAATTGCAATGGGATCTGTGGAGTTTGAAGGCAAATCTTTGTGCTCATTACCATTTGTCCTACTGGGGGAAGATGCTACCACTGCGGAGTGCTGTTGCCATGCTTGCTGTGCAACCACCTTTAGGTGGGTGATATAAGTCAAAATAGCATCCCCATGTTGGGCTGGGGCCCAGAACACTGCACTGGACTAAAAAAAGCCCTGGCGGTTTACAATTTTTCTGGCACAAACCCTGTAATGGTGCTATGACTGGTGCATATGAAAAATCTAATTAAATGTTTCAGATCATTTAAAAAAAGAAAAAAAAAACACCAAGCAAGCAATGGGTTAGAGCCATAGTACAAACTACCTTGGCTGCAACCAACACAAAATCCAATGCAATAATCACAGAGATCAGCAGAAGAAGCTATTGAGTCGGTGAACAGCTAGGCCCCAGACTACCAACAAACGTGGGTCCCCCATGCAGTACTACTTTTACATGCTCATTTGCCAAACAGCAATACCAACAACAGGTGGTTACAATCAGCACAGGGCCATTATTCATGTGGTAAGCCGTCCCTCTGTCTGTCTCTCTCTCTCACACACACACACACACACACACACACAAACCGCAAAACAAATTCTCTATGTGATTATGCCATGACTGTGTGGCACACCGCTATGTGTAATATTCAATGTTTTTAAGGTGTTCTTTTAGTTTAATGCAGAAAAACATATAAGGCTTTACATAATTCGTACGATAATGCCGACTGCTGACTAGACTGAACGACAAGAAGAGAATTCGTGTGAGAAAAAAAAGAGTATTTGTACACGCTATGGTATAAGAAATTACTACTTTGATTTGTGTTTCCCCTTCAGTGACTTTTCAAATAATTAACTATACTCCGTCCCCCGCTGGGAGCAAGCTGTATCAAGCTGTATTTCATTCGCGTTTTAAAGCGACTCTCTGCCGTACTTTCACACCGAGAGCACGCTGAGAGCTTTCCAGGACTCCTCGGGATTAGACACAAACCATAACAAACACTTAACCCAGTTTTTTTTTTTTAAATTATCACCACACTGAGTGCCAGGTCACAACTTTGACGCCAGGCTCGCAACGTTATCCCCACAACCGTGCTATATAACCGCACTGTCTTTTGTCTGCATGCGTTTCCTCCTCTCACACCAGGAAACGACACATTACTTGCTAGCTGAACTTAGCTAACGTTTTTATAGTGGGCTAAATGTTAAACATATGATGCTATAGAATTATTATGTCTTTACGAAGAAATTGTTCTCCAGAAGACCTTCGTTGGTGGTTTGAAAGTTGTCGGTTCAATTCCCCGCCATTACTAAAACTGTCCCATGAGCAAGACATCACTTACTTTAAGACCGTTACTCATCCTGCGGGGTTACATCACGCCTTTCTTCTATAATAATACACACTCATGACATAAAAATGACATTTAAACATATATATAATTCTTTACTAATGTGGTACTTTTACTCATACAGCCAGGTTAGCCTATACTCACATGTTCTGAATTTGAGGTCTTTATCGTCCGGGCTACCAAATTCCTGCAGGAGGGAAATATACATTACACCGAAGGCGTTCTGGATCCCAAACACCGAGCCGTTGCACCACATGGAAGCCAGCATGACCACCCATCCCCAGCCGCCCTCGGGGTGCACAAACTCAACCTCCTCCTTGGCTCCCGGACCCTCGCTTTTCTCTGGGATATCCACTTTGCTGTCCCCGTTCTCCTTATTCTCCGTCTTCTCCTTCTCCCCATCCTGCTCCTCTACTGGACGCTTCTCCTTTGCGGGTTCGCTGCCGGCGGGTGTCTCGGCGGCTGCATCGTTTTCTGGCATATTGTTCCCTTCTGTCATTTTTTAAAAAATAATGTGTCAAAAAGGCACTGCGGATTTTGAAGTATGGAGGTATTTCGCGTAGGCTGGCAGGGGGAGGTCAATAAATTTAGACACAGGATATGACAGAGATTTGGGGGCACGGTAAAGTTTTTTCCATTGACGGGGGGCTGTAGCTTCAGTAATGCTGGTACTGCAGCATGTGCAACTGTCAAACATCTGCCGTTGCACTTTTATAAATAGACAACGCAGAGGGGCGGGGCTGCGGGTATCCTTACACTGCAGCTGCTGAGGCGTTTCCACAAGTCTAAGAGAGTGTGTGTGGGGGTGTCCAGCAGAGAACAATGTAAGCATATGGAAGAATATTTCACCATTTGACCTTATACAAATACAGTATAGAGAACTAGCACAGCAAACATTTGAGGCTAGTAAGTGGAACGGTGAGAGTTTAAAGGTACTTTTTGTTTACCCTTGTTTACCCTACTTTTTATTACCCTCTGCAAACTTTAAACAAGAATTTAACCACCAGAGGCCAGCATTTAATCAGTGGATGTGTTGTAAAAAAAAACGCACGCAAATACAATGTTCCGTCCTCTCTTTTGACTTAATGTATGCTTTTATTCCTACCTAATAGACTAGGGGTGGGTAACTCAACACTTCAAAGACCAAGGAACTGGTTGTGAATTTCGGGAGGTCCAGACCAGGTCCACTACCAGTTCAGATAGAGGGAGAGGAGGTGGAGGTGGTCAACACATACAAGTACCTCGGGCTGTGGGTGGACAACAAACTGGACTGGTCATGCAACACAGAGCACCTGTATAAAAAAGGCCAAAGCCGACTGTACTTCCTCAGGAGGCTGAGGTCTTTAACATCTGCAGGAAGCTCCTGAGGATGTTTTACCAGTCAGTGGTCGCAGGAGTCCTTTTCTATGGCGTGGTGTGCTGGGGGAGCAGCACAGCAAAGAAGGACTCATCCAGGCTGGAGAAACTAATCAGGAAGGCGGGCTCTGTGGTCGGCATGAAGCTGGACACTCTGGTGACAGTGGCAGAGAAGAGGACCTTAAAGAAACTGATGGACATTATGAACAATGCCGGGCATCCTCTGCACACGGTCGTAAACAATCAGAGGAGCCTATTCAGCGACAGGCTGCTTCTCCCAAAGTCAAAAACCAACAGACTTAAAAACTCCTTTGTCCCACACGCCATCAGACTGTTTAACTCCTCACTGGAGGGGAGAGGGAGGAGAAACAGGGGGACAAGGGAGGGCGGGAACAACTGAGTTGTAGGGGCTTTTCTACACGGTGCAATATTTGTTTTTTGTTTTTTGTCTCTTTCTTATATTTGACTGTGCAATAATCACTGTGCAATATACTCACTCAAATGAGCAATCCTATTTATCCATATTGTATATTCTGTATCTATATATGTGTATATATGGTGTATTTATGCTTATATCCTTACTCTCATTCCCCTTAATGTATCTGTAACATGCAACTTCTTTCGGTGCTTTGCTACTGGAAACTGAATTTCCCGGAGGAACCCACCCGAGGGATTAATAAAGTTTCATCTAATCTAATCTATCTAATCTAATCGTCACTGATTTCTAGAATTGATTCAATTCCGATTCACAAGGTCCCGAATCGATTCGATCCACGATTCGATTTAATTCGATTCGATTCGATTCGATTTGAATCTGGGAAATTTTGACAGTCAGAAATATTATAATTCAGATCAGTACATTTACATATTTTTGTATCTATAAAAAGGAAGCTGACACACGCAAGACTTTATCAAAGGTGTGAGCATCACAGCAGATGCCTTTGTGTCAAAGTAGCTGAAGATAAAACACAGAAAAACATGAAGGTGATTTTCCTGGCCTGGGATTTTATAAAAATATTCTGCAGTACATCAAAAACGAAAGAAAACCATTAATCAACACATGAACATCACCTCTGAAGTTACAGCGGTTTTATTAGAGACACGGCTAAGCGTTTTGCATTTTGCATAATTTTAAAAAGTTTAAATTTGTTCAGTATTGAACGGCAGAAATTAGGTTTCTTTTCGGAAGTATATAAAAGGAAAAAAAACGTCGGCTGACAGCCTCTAAACAATGGTAGACTTGTGCGTAACAAGCAAGCGAATAATGAAGAAAACAGACAGACAGGGAGAGAGAGCTGTGTATCGTGGTGGAAGCAAAACAGTAAAAGTGAATACATGACGATGTTTATGTGAAGCGTTTGGATCTTCTTTTGCTGCTGGTTCGGTCAATATTGTTTGGAGAGAGATCAAACTAACAGCTTTAGAATCAGCGCATAAAGTGCGTGAACACAAAGCGCGGACCCGCCGACAGATCAGAATCAGCGAGCTGTCGGCTTTCAGCCCCGACTGTGAGAAAGGCGACATCTAACTGATTCTGATCCGCGGGTTGCGCTGTGTGTTTAAGTCTTTGTGCAGAATCCGTGTTCCTGCTCTCATTTACTGTCTTAGCTGTTTGGTGGTTGTTGAAATTTTGTGAGATTTCACCAGAGATTCTGGCATTTCGGGCAAAATAAATTTATATTAAAAAATCGATTCAGGATTTTAATGAATCGATTTTACGTTATCCAAGCCAGAATCGATTTTAATCGATAAATCGATTATAAAAACCCACCCTTTAATAGACCCTGTGCACGAGAAAATGCTAACTTCCTGGTTTGAGACCGGATATAGGGTTGTACATTACCAGTAGCTTTACTTTGTGGTCAATCGCTACTGCGAAGATATACTCCAAAATCATGTCCAAAACTCAGATCGCGTTAAGTTACAAAGAGCAGAAGGTGGGAACACTCACCACTGTTGTGTCACAAAAAATCTAATGATCAATTTTGACGTTTAAAGAGTTTAGATCGATCAGTTGTTTACATCACTCAACACAAGCAGAACTGCATTACAAAATCAGAAGACACATCATCCACATTCAGAAGCACATCTCTGTATAGTGACTGGTCTTATGATTTAAACAGGCAAATGTTCAGCATTCAAACTACAGGTGAAGAATAGTCAAACCAGATGTTTCCCCCGTCATGTCGATATCAGCTAGTCAAGTACACACTTACACAGCATGTTAACAAACCGTGAAAAAAAGCCACACAAAAAATGAGTGTTTGCTGGTAACGGTTTCTATACTAGAGATGGCACGATGCCACTTTTTTATATCCGATACCGATATCATAAATTTGGATATCTGCCGATACCGATATGAATCCGATATAGTGTGTTTTAATCAACAAAACTGTTTTTTAAAATATCTTGCTGCTTTTTGTGTAAGTTCATACTTAAGTTAAAAAAACAAAAACACTAAAGCTATTCTGTTATACCTGTATGCAAAAAATACACTGCACCCAAAATATTTCATAGTTCAGCAATACTGATCAATCTAATAAACTTAAACCTGCTCCATCCTCCCTACTCTGGTATTTTAAAGAGTAAGCAACCTAACTAATAGGGTTCTAAAACTCCCAGCAAAAAATAAAAAAATAAGGAACCACCCTCCACCTCATGATGCTTAATTGACGTAATCAACTTTGATTTGATGCAGTGTGAAAAAAAAATGCCCAGAAATAAATTATTTTTCAAGAATGACTAAAAACATTAAATATTTTCAACAGAATTGCAGACTGCACAGATCATACCTTCCCAAAGGAAAAAGTACTATAGCTTACTAGGATATATTAGACTTAATAGTTACTATATACAGTCAGTGTTGGGAAGGTTACTTTTAAAATGTATTCCACTACAGATTACAGAATACATGCCTCAAAATGTATTTTGTAACGTATTCCGTTACGTTACTCAATGAAGCAGTAAGGAAGCTGACTAAATATTAACTGATAATTTATGGCAAAGGGGTGGGATTAAATAAGTGTATACTTCTTCCCACTCCCTTTCAACATGTAAATTAATCACAACGTTTTTTTGTATGTAATTTGTATAGTATTTTTTTTCTCTCTTATTTTCTTTTCTAAATGTACTTGTATATTGTTCACATGTTGAAATAAATTACCAATCAATCAATCAATCAATGAGAGTAACGTATTCTGAATACTTTGGATTATTTAATATATTATCATGCTTTTTACAACTGCATGAATGTACTATTCCTGTGTGATTTATTACTATTACTGAAGGTCCGCGACTCCAAACTGTAGTAAAGGGACCTCTGGCTAATACGTCGGGTTCCGTGTCGGGCTCATAGCCGAAAAATAGCTTTACTTTGTTGTTGTATGGCGGTCCATTCTCCCTGCAGCACGGACTACACTGCCAATGAGGCTACATTCTTTAGGGCTATGCCTGTAGCATTCTGCCTATTAGCTTAGCACAACAACAACAACAACAGCAAAAAGGCACTCTCTCTCACCCAGGAAACACACAGTTGCAGAGAGAGCGCGTCACCATGGCAACCGTAACGCTGCCGCCTGGAACAACAGAACATAGCTATCAAACAAAATCCAAACAGTCCTGACCCATGACAATATGAAACTGGAAAATACCGCCGTGTAATCCATTTATTTCAACAAAGTAACTGTATTCTAAATATCACCTTTTTAAACGGTAACTGTAACGGAATACAGTTACTCATATTTTGTATTTTAAATACGTAACGGCGGTACATGTATTCCGTTACTCCCCAACACTGTATTCAGTAATGGATTTCTATACATTTTACATCAGATTAAAACTTTGGGTGTAAGATAGATAATTATTTATTAAAAGCTAGACATTTTAAATGAGAATAAGAAAGAAAAGTATGTCTTTGTGCCCCCCTTTTCCCTGTTAATGCCCTATCGGCCCCCCTGGCTAAACTTTGCTAGATCCGCCCCTGCACAGTTACCAGCGTCAGCTGTAGAAAAGGATCCTGGTGTAGAAAGTAATATTAAATAAATTCTAACAACAGCTTATCAAGCTTAAACGTGCTGCTGTTGTTCAGCCGCTGGTTTCCTCTTTCTCTTATATGTATTTTATGACTATTGTTCCTTTTATTAATTGTGTTTTTGTAAGGTGACCTTGGGTTTCTGAAAGGCGCCCTCAAATAAAATGTATTATTATTATTATTATTAAAAAAACAGAGACGGACTCGCGACAGAAAAGCCGATCAGCTGATCATTGCAGTTTCATGATTGAAGTAGCAGCAGGAGAGGGAGGGAGAGAGAGAGGCAGTCGCTCCATATATCGGTTGTTAA